ACTTCTTCTCCATACGGGTCAAAAACTTGCTCTGCATGTCACGAAAAGGATTTTCAACAAGTTGCAGACGTTTATCAACAGCTGTCACCTTCGGTTCATACTGAAGATCAAATGGCCAGAAAGGATCAGGAACAAGACTCTCCGGCCGGGAACAAACCAACCGTGAACCTACCGCTCAACAAATATGTGAAAGAAGATGGAGATGGACTGAACTGCTGCTGCTGCTGGATTCAACATAGAACTTGGCACCGAAGTGCAGCAGTTCGAGTTGCCACGTTCCAAATAGCACACAAAGGTAGGCAGGAAAATGAGAGAAGAGAATCAATAGAATTTAGATAAGTATAATAGTGAAACAGAATGAGTAATGGTAGAAAGGAATATGAAGGTTAAAGAGACTGAATACATCTGCGTAAGCCATTGACAACGATTTTGAGCCATGTCACCTATTGTCTCCAGCCATTGATTCTTAGAGTCTCGAGGGCCCCAACCCGGAAGTCTGCATCTCCCTACCTGACTCAGTTTAACTGTCAGGGATTTCATGGATTGATGAGGCCATGTTTTTGTTTGGCCACCACTTACTCTTTTCCAACCTGCACCTATATCAGCTAGTAATGCCCGTCCGTCGGGGGAGACGATGGTTAGGCATGCGCAGCACGTGACGTAGCCATCTGAATCTATGTAACTTTATAGCCTCGTCGATTGATTTTCCCTCTTTGCCCAACACTACGCCTAACGTCAACATTAGTTACCTTATTATACCACCTAACGCGAGAAAGAGATCGTAAACATCTGTGGTCAAAAACAGACAATCTCTTCATGTCTTCCGCTCTCAATGGCCACGTCTCACCGCCATAGAGGACGGAGCGAACTGCTGAGCAGTATACACGTCCCTTGGTTGACAGCCGGATGTCACGCCTACGCCAGAGACGGTGTAAGTTAGCGAAAGCAGCCCGAGCTTTCTGGATCCGTGCTTTGATTTCGCCACCAATCAATCCGTTGGTGCTGATACAACTTCCCAAATAGGTGAAGTGGTCAACATGTTCTATCACTTCACTCCCTATCACTAAGCTAGGAGTTGACGTAGTCCGGTCCTGTAGCAGCATCTTACATTTTACAGGGGCGAATCGCATGCCAAACATACGAAGATTGCTGCTCAAGGTGTTCAGAAGACTCTGCATTTTGTCAGCGTCCTCCCCTAACAGGACTATGTCGTCTGCGTATTCTAAGTCCATAAGACTATTCCCTGGTAACAAGTCGATTCCTAAGTCGTTAAGTTCAGTTAAGGATACTTCCATTAGCATATCTATGATGAAGTTAAACAGAAAAGGGGAAAGTGGACATCCTTGACGGACACCACTAGTTGTTATCAATTTAGATGACAATTCCCCATAAGCCCTTACATGGCTACGTGAGTTTGAGTAGAGTGCCTTGATTAGTGCAATGTACTTTCTTGGCACTCCCTTCATAGTCAAACATTGGCATAGAACCTCTCGATCCACGGAGTCGAAGGCCGCCTTCAAGTCAAGAAATATGGCAATTGCTGGACGCCTAAAAGTGTGCCTATGTTCTAGGATCTGTCGGAGAGTGAAGATATGATCTATGCACCCTCTACCTGGCCTAAAGCCCGCTTGATTTTCCCTCGTTTGTTCCTCCCGAGTTCGGCTTAGTCTGTTCATGATTACTGAGCCTAGGATTTTAGAGACTATGTTCGTCAGACTGATTCCTCTATGATTATCACATGAGGACTTGTCTCCCTTCTTGAATACTGGTATAATAAGTGACTTACCCCAGTCTGGTGGAACCGTCTCTGATTCCTAGACGTCACCTAGTACCTTAGTTAAACTATATACTAGTATGTCACCCCCATATTTAAACACCTCCGGAATAATTCCGTCGGGTCCTGCCGCTTTGCCTCGTTTCAAATTACAGATAGCTTTGGTGACCTCACTTACAGACGGCGGGCCAGTGTCTATGTCCCATTCGGGTGTGTGCTGGTTGGCGGGGAGACTCAGTGTGGCTGTAGGCAAGTTAAACTGTTCCTCGAAGTGTTCTTTCCAGCGTTCGAGGCCTCTATCCTGAGAGCTTATTAAGGAGCCATTTTTCTCACAAATAGTCTCACTTATGATTTGCCTTCTCCCACCCGTTTCCCTGATGAGTCTAAAGAGTTGCCTAGTGTTGCCTATCGTCGATGCTTTTTCCATCGGCGATGGACTGAACACACGCCAAAGAGACAGTCGAATGAAATAGCCTGCAGTGCAGACCCTCGAGTGGAACTCGAACGAGAAACGGAGACTGGGGCGCCCGAAGGCTCCATAGAGATCTTGCGGGAGAGAGATGGGAGGCTGTGAATAGTCGAGGGCCCGGCCGAAATAGGACAAAGTGGAGACGCTTTATTGAGGTCCTGCGTTTCACATGACGTTAATTGATAAATTTGGAGTCACCCGGCAAATGACATCATGTAACATTTGCAAGTTTGTTAAAACTCTTCTGTATATGAACTAAAAACATTTTAGTCTGTATGCAGCTGATGAAATAAACTACAGTGCCATCTAATTCCTGAAATTTAAGTGACTAATAGATTCTTAAGACAAACTATAAATAATGACGGTGAAGTGTGAATACAAGTCTGAACCTTTAAAGTGGCTCAGTGTGGGCTAATATGATATAATTTTAACCCATTTTGTGCGAAAGTTAGTTTCACGAATTGTTTTGAATATGTATGGAGGCTACATAAGAAGTTTAGCACTGACACTCGTGACATGGATTGGGACCTTGTAAAGACCATGGTCTATTATTCCACCTATTGTTAGGTACTAGTGGTGTCCTTGTAAGGGTTTCGTATGTACTGCTTTGTGGGTTAGTTCCCAGCAGACTTGTACCGTATATCCGATCAAAATTTATTTGCGTGCCATACTGTGAATGCCCTGAGTTGTTGGTGGTCGAGTTCTGACTATTGTCACCTGTACTCTTGAGGGTGGCATTGTTTTGGCGTTGGTTATCAGTGTGGGCCATGGTGCTATTTCGCACGTTGTGGGTGCCAATACTATTGACCGTGGGGAATGCGGGCTTACTTATACTGCCATTGTTGTTGTTGGCATGATTTGGGGTCATATTCTTCTCTTTTTTACCAATGGACTTATGGCTAGGAGAGGACAGGGTCAACTTTCGGGGGATTTTGACTTTTTTCTTGGATTATTTAGTGACATGTCTAAATCTACGGTGCTAGGTGGTGTAGTTTTATTGGCTATTTGATTACAATTTAGCGGCCTTTTGGTTGGTGTCGCTCTCTGAGAAGATAATTCTGTGTGGTTAGAGAGGGGTGGTGCGGTGGATTCTACGGTGTCTCTCAAAGGGTTGGGTATAATTGCTGCTTGCAATGTCCTATTGTTTATTCCACAATTAGACTCAGTGTGATAATTATATACGCGCCTTTCTATGACGGTCTTGTCCACCGCAACCTTTATTAGTTTTTAATTTCTGGCTTGCGATAGGGTGTGTTGGGAGTGGGTAAATTTTCTGGCCCCAGCCGGTGTTTCGAACTGAAAACGAATAGGACAACACTTGTCATGTTGACTCTTCTTCAGCCTGTAGCACTTAGTCTTGGAGTTGGGCATTTTCGCCTCACTAAGTAGGATGCGCTGTACCTTTTTTAGTGCCTCATTGTCCGGAACGTTGTAGACAATAGCATTTAGTTTAGCATCGAGTCGTTTTGTTACTTCTGTAGTAACAAAGTTAATGAGGTTATCCACCTTAGATACCGATTCCGTGTCAAGTTTGTTAAGGTCTACAGTTCTCATGAGGATAGTTAAAGGTGTCAGTTCACAGACCTGTGATCTGATACCGCTGATCTGATCAGATAATTTGGATATTTTGGTATTGGTATCAGAAATTCCTGGATTTACTGACTTGTTTTTTATTTCCCTTAACTCGGCCTTAAGTTCTCCTATAGACAACTTTAGGAGTTCTATTTCAGAAGATAGTTCTGAAACAGAGCTTGAAGGCTGGAGCTTTTCGATAAGTACGTAAGGTGAAGGGAGGGTTTCTGTATGAGCAGAGGGTACTGAATTTTTGGGAGTAGTGCTAATACTAGCTGTCAGTGCAGTTTTATCCTCAGTTTCAGCTCGACGCTTACGACATAGAAGTGAGTTATGTGGCTCACTATAACCGTTTGTAGGGAGTGTGTTGCTTGATGTAGCAAACAAGGACGAAAAATTAGTCATCAGATTTACTGGGGATTGAGTTCGTTGCTTTTTACTTTGATTAACCACAACTATTTGATATAAGAGTTAATGGTTATAGGTATGGAGGAAGTAGAGTACTTGTGCAAGGATTACAACAAGATAAATTTTATGTGACGAATCACGCAAAAATGTAACGCAAACGTTGGACGTACCGCGTGTGTATGGAGGCTACATAAGAAGTTTAGCACTGACACTCGTGACATACCTGTCTGAATAAGTGTGCAGGAAGAGACAGTGAAATTACTACACAAGCGATAGAATGATTAACTGATGAGCTTTAGGAACCTGAAATTAAGTGTTGATCTAATAATGATTCGAGTGATTAATAAGAGCTACTTAGTTTATGATGTGAAACTGACAACTGGAAGGAAGAAAATAAATTGTATTCCAGATAGATCTTTGTTGAGTTTACTTCCCACCCTTTTCAATTACTGGGCGAATACGATGTTGGCTAGTACCATTCCATAAGGAACGCTGACTAAGTTAAACCTTGGACAACGAAGAGACGGGAACGCACCAATCTGCTCGGAAAGAACCATGGGGCCGAATAGTGAATTTTGTCCTTTGAATCGACACTAACCCAATGTTTTTCCTACCTGACCCAAAACTAAGCTGGAGTGCTTATTAATATCATCATATTTTGTGCAACGATTGGTTTCATAAATTTAACACAAGATACCTGGTTTCTCTGTCTTGCCTTGACTATGCGTCCAAAGGTCATTGGTGTATTCGCCTTTTTTATTCGGAGCGCATGCCGATAAAAATTGCGATAAGTCTAAAGCAGCATATTTTCCAGAAATTTATTGGACGTCCTTTTGTTTTGTAGTGGCAAATTTCGCATCAAAAATTGTCGCAAGGTCACGGTGTGAGGTCAATCGTCCCGAGATGAAGTTTTTTATGCAAATGTTATCATACTTATTCCATGTGGTCTTCTCCTACATTCGCCCTTTATTTAAGTTCATTGTTCGGCAAATCACAGGAAAATGTGAAATTAGCCGTATAGTGGCCAACTACCCTAAAGGAGCATCGAGAACACTTGGAATAGGTTCGCTTATCTTATATGCTAATCTACAGTATACCTCCAGAAAACTCCCTCAGGAGTTCGAAAAATAATTGTGTCAGAAAAGGACTCTTCTTGGATAAAAGTACCGACGCTGAAACTTACGTGAAGCTTGTTATAAAGGTTAAAGGGATAAACCTTAACCAGCAGCCCAAGTATGGTAACATACTGAAACTTACAACAGTTTTCCAATCGACTATGCTTACTGTATAAATCAAATTAATTCTTATCGTGAATTAACAAGTAAACTCGAGGTCTTAAGATCTACTGAGTTCAAGTGGGAAGATAAATACCACGCTGAACTGCTTTCAAGGGTATATTTTTAAGTGGTTAACTTGTAACACTTTAGTTGTGGAATTTCTTGTGTCCCAGCGACCATGAATTATCCCACAATGATAAACAGTGGACACTTCTTGGATTTCAAACAGAGAATCCTGGCACTGATTTTCGCGGGATGGGTCTGCTTTCTCTGGAAAATCTTGTGTAAGTCGTATCCTTTTATACCATGAATCCATGTTGGAATGATTGGGGTACATGATACTTTTTCTCTTCTGTCTTTACTTATTACTTTGTACTGGCCATGATGTTACAGAATTATTTTATTTGTGAAATTAGTCTCTAATTTTGTGCTATGAAATCCTTTCATAACGTATCACTTGGAATACTATTTGACAAATGAACAGTTCTAAGTCATCTATTATCTAAATCAAATGCTTGATTTATAATTAGTTACTAAGGGGTCATGCTTAACGTGAGGGTTTTTGGATAAGCTCAGTTGATGATGCACCAACATCATCGTTCGACATTGGTAACAGTCTATAACGGAGTTCATCTAGTTGCAAGGCATTTTTCATAGATATGTTTTTAAACTTACTGCAGACCACTCTTGTGAACTTTATATATATATCGGATTAGTTATGTAACTTCAGTAAACAAGGAATATTCTTTGGGATAATCCCTTCCTTGGGTTCTGCAATTATACATTCATGTTTGGGGAATATTGACGTTGTGTGTCCACTAGACCAAGACTGTCTATAAGAATCAGTTAATCTGATAATAATCTGATAACTTCCTTTAAAAATAGAATCGTTTACATCTCAGTACTCGTAGAATTTATTTCAGGGTTAATTAGTATATGATAGCATGTTTGATGTGACACTTAGCTTCCATAATAAAGTATTCTGGGGCTCTTACTCAGAATAAATATATACTGTAAGAAGTATTTTAGTTAGAAAAGTTTCAAAACGGATTGATTCATTCAGAACACTGATTCTACGCTAGCTAAGCTGAGCATCTACAGATGCGACCCACTCGCTTAAGCACAGCCAGCATCAAATAGGTCTTGGATTCAAATTCTGCCACCTACCCTAGCCTGCGCAACTGACCATCATAATCAACCCCTAATCAATAAATATGATTCATGCCTTGTTACGTTAAAGATCTGATCCATGTAGCAGAGTTTAAATAAGTCTGAGCATAAATAAAGACAAAATGTTCCTTAGTAAAATAGAGAGTAGAAAATTACTTGAAAATCTATGTTGTATAAATTGAAGGGAAATTTTAATGAATCTTTTAACTATTATGGGAATCTAGACATTTGTAAAAAATTATATTTGTAAAGTCTCAGCGATATTGAAATGAGTAATTCCAACGTTTCGTTCGGCAATGTGGTCCGAACTTCTTCAGGGAAATTAATCGAAATTAACATAACATAGGTTTATATATAAAAAGGAACATCACTTGTTTTTGAAAATTTGTCCAATCATGAGTCATTCAAAAAGTATCAACAAGTAAAATAAACAAAATTTTATGAGCTGTGATCAAAATTTGACCTCATTTCAATCTCGCTGAGACTTTACAAATATAATTTTTTACAAATGTCTACTTCTCACTCGGTGCCCAAATATTTTAGAACTATTCTGTCAAATCTTGACGACAGTTCATTTGTATTATGGGAATCTTTACATTTCTGTCGATTTCTGTTGCTTCATCTGTTTATTTGACGAGTAGTCCCTCCTACACGGTATAATTTTCTTGTTAGAAAAAATCAATACTCCAAGACACCCGAAATCATATCTAACTGCCAATATTTGTTATACGATTATTTGCTGTATTTTCACTTTCCCAAGTTAATCTAACGAGCCAAAGGAAAAAGTAAGTCATTTGGCACTATTTAAGTTTTAGTTGGGTGAATATGCGTGAAATCCCTTCCTCAAATGGATGTTGTGAGAGTCCGTTCATACCTCATTAGTAAGCGAAGAAACAAAAGAAACTTGTTCAGGGAGTGGTAAGAGTAATACTGTCACTGGATGATTCCTAAATGAATTTTTATTATCTCCACAATGTAGCTATAACATTTTTACACCATTAGTTTTAGCTTGGGTTGCTTTCGGTATCAGTGACATAATATTTCTAAAAGTTTGCTTTATATCTGTCACATTATTTTGATAGAAATCTAGGAAAAACATCCTACTTCATCTGAAGATGCTAGTAAATAATCTCCCAACATTATCAGCCCACAGCTTTAATCATTCAATGTTAGATGTTGACCTTCACTATTTAATTCGACTAGTTAGGCTAATGGTACACAGTTAGTCATCCACCTCACTGTGTCACATTCAGTCATTTATGCTCTCCTTCTTTTCAGCTAGGCAGACACTATTGCCCTACATTCTTTATTCCAAAATGCATTCCGTACTCTAGATGATAAAATTATTGTTTTGGTTTGGTTTTCTAACGGTTCTCTGATCATATAGAACAAGTACGTTGGGAACTGGGGTATGCATACTCATATTTTTGTACAATTGTATCTTACTTACCCATTGATACCCTTCGTCTCCCTAAAGTCTTCATTATGTATCCTATCTTTTTACAGTTTGTATTACTTACTAATACTACCACATTTTAGAAACTGGTCAGTATTATTTCCTGTTTTTACGTAACACCAACCGACTCAATTTAAACGTCTGTCATATATTTCATGCAAACTGTTCTGGCTATATTATTGGCTGTCATGCAGCATCGATAACTTTTATGAAATAGTTCTTCCTTCTAATCAGCTAAATAAAAGTGAACCTAATTTCTAGTTTCATTATTATACTCGGTAGTACTATCATTTTGTTACATGTGACGTTCACCTTTTAAAATAGCAAGCAAGTGGTTTACTCATGTGAATATCTTTGCTTTCAATTAGTTCTTACAACCATTCACTTACTAGTTTATTTTATTGGATTAAAACATCTAAACAATTGTTGAACACATTTATGTACTTGTTATGTTAGCCTTTGAAAAAAAAGTTGTTTCAACACTGTTAAGATTAAGTAGGTACACTAGCCTCCTAGCTACAGCCATTTACGGAAACGTTAATGGTTTGTGCGTATATTAATGACTGCAACTTGGGTTCTGATGTCAAGTTATTTCAGTAATATGATAAGTTGTATTAGCGTTGAATGCTCATACGTTTATTAAATATTACTAAACCTCTTTTTACTCCGTAACAAATGTATCTATACATAACTTACATCGACTTCTGCACTGACTTTTATTGATGTTTTATGATGGTTGTGAACTATTCATCCATTTAAATATGACTAAACTCCAATCCACTACTTGCTCTATAATTAAATGCTGCTTATATGTAAAGCTTGTTGAAGCAGTTTTCAGCTTTCTAATGAAATTGTCTCAGTTTTTCGGTGACTTCAGATTTATCAATGGTTCTAGGCGAACTTATGTTATTCCATATTAGTTTGCTTGTCAGATATAGCACACAGTGAAATAGTATAATTTACTGAGTGACGTTTCCAACACAATTAATTGTCTATAATCATATCAGTTATAATCACACAACTTCGGAACTTTCCTTTTGTAGTTTTCTTTATTCCTTCCTATCCGTCTTAGGGGTAGTAGAATTTTCCAGTTGTCCAGGACAGGTGTCAAATCATTCCTATTACACGTATTTTCAGCTGATTCGATAAATAAAGCTTCATTTATCAATTTCTCCCTCCACCCTATTACAGTAGATTTTAAAACTGTTATCCCATCCTATTGTATGGTTGTGTGTAATTGCACGTAGTGAGTGCTACAGCTGAACCCTTCTCTAAATTTCTTATCTTATTAGGGTTAACTAATCTAGATTTTGATAGGTTTTTGTGTTCCGCTAGTCTGACTAACCCTGTTCTACTACTTTGACCTATGCATTTGACCTGACAATCATTAAAGCAGGGTATTAGATAAACTAAATTGTTTTATTTAATTGGCTCCATTGGATCCTTCAACCGACAAAGCTTCCTTCTAATTGAGTTTGTGGGTTTGAATACCACTTTTATTCCTACATTGTTAAGAATTCTCCGTAAGGTTTCCGAGGTTCCTTCTTTGTATGGAAATACTACTGATGATTTATATTCCCTATTGTTCGAGTTTTCATTATCTTGTGCATGTTTGACATGCATGTAGTTATTATTATTATTATCACTACCATTATTATTAACTATTTTTACATTTCCCTGCATACTTCCTGATTAATTTATCAGGGTAATTATTAAGTTTCAAAGCTTCTCTTATATACTTTACTTCCTGCCTTAGATTTTCCTTGGTACTATTGAGATTTTGTGCCCTATTTCTTAAACATTTCACCAATCCTATTTTTACTGTCATAGGGTGGGGTGGTCCAAAATCCAAATATCGGTTTCAATGTGTGGTTTTTCTGTAAACACTAGTGTTTAACTTCCCATCTTCTTTCCTTTTTACTCTACAATCTAACATTTTAAGCTCCCCTTCCTGACTTTTCAATTCATAAGTGAACTGAATTGCCCCTAGCTTCGAGTTGATGTGTTCAAAAAATCTATTTATGTCTTGTGTTCTGTGTACGGTGAGTGTGTCATCTACATACCTCCACCATACTTTGGGGGAAGGGGGCGGGGCTGAACGTTTCAGTCGCTAAGTTTTCCCACCTATCCATGAATATATCACTGACATACCTTTATTCGCTATTATCCTAGACATTTCAGTTTGTTGCTATTTCATTAGTATTATTTTGGTTCACTTCAGTACCTTGTATCTATTTGTATGATTTTCATCTTATTTCTGTCGTTTGTGATAATATCTTAAATATTAACACATGTTCGTAAGGTTGCATTATTCTCTGGTGTAAGTAATTTAAAATATGATTTCTCTTAATAACGGTTTTAAAACCTAGTTTTACTTCGTACTAGTTTGTACAGAATCCCGTGATTTGCATTCAAGTCATGCTGATCAATTCATCTTTGTGGTTTTCATCTATACACTAATCGTATAAGTGTGAATAGTTGCAGGTGACTGGGTCCATCTTCCTTCATCTTGGACCGCCAGTTTCTATATAATGCCTACAATACTGATCATCCGTTCAACAGTTACAGTTTTATCCGTGCTTAGTAAACTAAAACTAACTTGTAATTTAATTTTCTTATAACTGTAGCTTTCTGGCTACTACCTACGAGGCGATGGGTGATGATTGCACTTCTAAAGACTTTTGCACCTTTCAACCAAAAATTGCTTCGAATGTCCTCAGATATATGTGTTGGGAATCACTTCTTTCTGTTCGTCCGATTTTTGTACTTTGTTGTGTGAATGTTAACTGTAACTCCACATGCCAATTTAAATTTATGTACGGAAGCAGAAAAAGGGGATTATACCAGCATATATATATATATACATGAACGTGTCCTACCAGAAAAATTTGCCAAATCAATGTTTTCTTGTATTATTAATTTTTTTAACACAATCCAATCCTTATTACTCTTTTCCCGCTGCTTATATTTTCACCTTTGCAGGTACTTTGCAGAAACGCATACAAAGTTAGCTAGAAGTATTTCTTCAGCATCAAATCATCCTAAAAAATGGTAATTATGAGAAATACACCACAATTCATGTATAATTCATGCATTGTTTGTAATCTAACTAAATAGGTATCCATTTGCTGTGGTTGGTATCAATCTTACAAAGCTGTTATATAGTTTCATGCTGAGAGGTTATCTTAAAAATCAATTCTACAATACATCGTCATCAGTGAGTATGCAGGATTTCAATGAGTTCTACTGTAAGTTCCTTCATCTTTTTAAAAATTACCTATATTTATATATGTTGTATGGGTTTCGATAAATTACTTCTCATCGTTATCTCTGAACATATCTTTTAGCTATCAGACTAAGAGTTACATTTATCGCCTGACGGTTTATAATACTACCCAGTTGTGAAGATTGACCTAGGTAGTAGGGTAGGACTCTTAAATCCCACATCCATTGGCTGGAAACTTAGTGTTGTAGTCACTCGTCATAGATTGTAATTTATCATAATAAGATTAATCACTTCACTATCTGTCTACTTTTTCTGACTGGATTTCATGGTGTCTTTTGTTCTCAATATCTTGTTTTACAAATAGCTGTAGCTGTAGCAGTTTGGCGTAGGATTAGATACAACTTATATTGACTATCACATCAAATAATTCACTGTCTTTCATAACTGTTAGAGTTAAAATAGCGACATTCTCTCACATCCAGTCTTCCCTCTTTTCTGGACTTACTGTTTGGCGACGTTTTTTTTTAAAGTGCATCAACCGGAAATCGAACCTGGACCACCTGCGGAGTAGATGGGCCTTCTGTCTTCGGATCACCAAATCACTCACAATAATCGGCATAACCTTTTTGTTGTTGTGACTGTTAGTTGTTATTTGATTATTCTTTTTTTCAACTCATTATATATACCAAACATAACTATACGGATATAGGAAAGTCAGTTTTGTTTTTTTTCTTAGCGAAGAAACCATTTCCCAACGATTTCATTTTCAATCTGTACACTTGTATTTCAATTACATAAAAAGCTATTCACATTATAACTGTTCAATGGTAGAATGGTCTTCAGCCACACAAGTTGATGCGGAGTCTGTTCCACCCCTTCCGACACACTTTTAAACGTCTTCTAGTTTACTAGCCAGTAGTAGTAGTAGCAGAGTCTTCTGAACACCTTGAGCTGCGCAGCAATCTACGAATGTTTGGCATGCGATTCGCTCCCGCCAAATGTAAGATGATGTTACAGGACTGGACTACACTGACTCCTAGTTTAGAAATAGGGAGTGAAGTGGTAGAGCACGTTGACCACTTCACTTATTTGGGAAGTACCATCAGCCCCAACGGGTTGATCACTGACGAAATGTCAGCACGGATACAGAGGGCTAGTTTCGCATATGCCAGTTTACGCCGTCTCTGGCTTAGTAGACGCGATATCCGGCTATTGACCAAAGGGCGAGTGTACTGCTCAGCAGTCCGCTCCGTTCCTTTATGGCTGTGAGACATGGCCATTGAGAGTGGAAGACATGAAAAGATTAGCTGTCTCCGATCATAGGTGTCTGCGTTCTATCTCCCGTGTGAAGTGGTATAATAAGGTAGGCGGGAGGGGAAATCAATCGACGACGCTATGAAGTTACACCGATTGAGATGGTTAGGACATGTGTTACGTATGCCTAGTCATCGCCTTCCTCGACAATGGGCAATGTTAGCTGATATAGGGCCAGGCTGGAAAAGAGCTAGCGGCGGTCAAACCAAAACATGGCCTCACCAGTCAATGAAATCCACAACAGTTAGTCTAAGCCACGTAGGAAGGTGTAGACTTCCTAGCCCCCCTTGGGGTCCTCCGGACGGTAAAAACCAATGGCGCAGATGCATCCACTCCTTGTGACTTATGATTTCAAATGAAACTATATCGTTCTTCGTTATTACTATTCCTTTGTCTCACACCTCTGTTTACTGTTTCTATTATGCATTTCTTCTACTTTCTTCTCTTGCTTTGTGTGCTACATGGAGTGTGGCGACTTGAACTGCCGCACATCGGTGCAAAGTTCTATGTCGAAAACAGACAGACAGTAGTAAGTCCGGAAACGAGTGGAGTTTTGGATGCGTGAAGCTAGCCGCCATTTTCCCCTCCTGTAGTAGTCAGTATTAAGAACACTACCACTACTACTGCAACTTCATACCCTGAAGCTTAAAAAGCCCAATATCTCACTCAGAATACAAAGAATGAAAAACTTAAAACTGCTCAATCAATATATCGATAGGATTAGAGTAGTGTTAAGACGCCTTATTTAAGTGGGGGTGGGGTGGGGTGGTAGAGTTGAAGTAGTTGAATTATACAGAATTGTATTCAATAATTGAATCATGATTAAGTAGGTTTAAAGTGAGTCACAGGATGTCACAAAAAAAAACAATCTCCAAATTATGATGATTATGCTAATTTAAGTGATGAAGTGGAATGAAATGAATCAAAAAGAACATTGACTACTGCAATCAGGGGTAAGGAGAAAGGAATTGAACAATTAAACGTTTTGGAATACATAGTTTAAGTTTTTTTTTTTTTGTGTTCATGGATGATAGCTAATGTTTCAGTTATGCATAGTTGATGAAAATGCAAACTTTTAGGAAAATTAAAACAATTAGTCCCTCTGATAAATTTGAATAAGGCATTTAGAAGACAAATTTCGCGAGACGATGGCATCATTTCGTAGTTTCTTTACAATCGCTTTACAACTAACATGGTTAACAATAATAAAATAACAGGCATGACAATTACTCAGCTATATAAAAAAAAAGTACATACTAATGACCAATCATATTTAAATAGGTCAAGTAGTCAGTTCATGGTAGGCGAAGGTTGAAGTCTACTGTTTTTTCTACACATAATTTAGGATGTATGTAATTAATCCAAAGTGCTTCCATCACCTTTAGTAACCAACCTTGAATTAGAGTTATGTGATGAAATAATTGTGAAACAGTCATTAATATTAATTTAGTGACCTGACATAAATAAGTGCTTTGCAATGGATGATGCTGGGTTTCTATTCAGATTAATTGCACTAGGATTTTCTATATGCTTTAATAACCACTTTGGAACATGTTCTTTTCGACGACATTGGAACATTCTATTGGTTCTACTAATATAATATATATACTATATATATGTCACCGCAACTCCAGGTGAACTTGTAGATACAGTTTGAAGTAGAGTCCATAGAATTTCGTCCTTTAGTCGTAGGTACACAGGGATTGAAAATGTTCAGCATCTGAGAAAAAGAGATGCGGCATAGAATGTGCATTTGATGGCTGACCGAAGTCTTTGAGCTGTCTGTCAACTGCATAATCTGGTCCCCCTTGAATGGTAGGTTAATAAAGATAGCTTTCTTTGGTGTACAGAAGCTGTCTTTTCAAGATGTGGTCTATCCTTACTGTGACAATTGATAAAGTTGTTTTTATAACCTATATATATATATCACTAACTTGAATGATAGAATTCAGTCTGCACCGATATCGAGGACTACACAAATAACATTAGTTACTACCTAGTGTCGAAAACAAAGTATCCATTACAGTCCTACAGGAGATCGATCGCGAGCCCGAATAGCTCAGTGGTAACGTCTTTGACTACAACGTTTGCTGACCTCGGTTAAAATCTCAGGAGGGACATGAATTCCTTCAAGACTGCAGATATATACGCCTTGTTTGACTGGTCAGAGTGCTAACAAGCACGAAACCTAGGTCCATGGCTTCTTGTTGATTGCCTTGGCCAACCTAAAGAATAGCGACCACAGAGTGCGAACGCGCCAATAACCTTGAAGGCATACTATTCTTTGGATTACAGAACCTGCTGTGTATTTCACGTCGAGAAGCCATTTATTTATGAGGAAAAATACACTTAATAATATTTTTACCCTGACGTATCTGAATAATACTTCCCAGTTACAATGAAGGGGATCAGTTTTCAATTTTCATAGCTATCAAAACAGCTGCATCTACATGAACGACGAAACCCTCTGTTCCCATATATTATATACAAGAGAAGTAAGGACAATAATAAAACACCCGAATCCTAATCCTGACCACAACCCCTAACCATAACATGCTATCAACCCATTGTCCAAACAGTACTTAGTAAACGAGATCAGGAGGGAATCGCACCTCAATTCGTGTACAACGTTCATACTGGTGCTGTAGTAACCGCTGATTCTGAAATCCAGCGAATGACATGTGTTCAAGGCCATCGGGATGTTCGCACTCCGTGGTCGTTATTCTTTATGTTGACCATTGCCTTCAGCCATTTATTTAATAACTTCACTGCCTTTATGAATATACATTTAACTAGTTTACTAATCATATGCCTTCTGTTTCCACTTTATAAAATAAAACAGGTTACACTTTTTATTCTTTTCATGAATTTTGGATGAAAACATCACGTGATATCATGTTATTCAATGAATATCGAAATGATTTTGAGAATAAATTGAAAGAACGCCTGCTGAATGTAAACTGTAGACTATGCCTACCAGAAGGTAAGTAAACAAATGACTGGCGGTATCGTTGTATCTCTATCTATCCATCTATCTAACTGCTGAAATGTGTACACAACATTCATAATTGTCCTATAACAGAATGTATCTGATCTTATTTTGTTGATGTTCCACTCAATGATTGTTAGTTTTGATTGATCGATTTAAAGTTCCATTGGCTTATTTATACATGTATTCTTTCTTATGCATTCAATGGTTGGTTACATCAATGTGTGATTATTGTCGTCTCCATCTTTGCCTCTGCGTTCCTCAGGGGGGGATCTCAGCTTATTTAATATTCCTTTGTTCCCTATTTTTTCTCTCTCTCATCAATATCTTTTATTATTTCAGTAAGCATAATAACTAACTACTTACTCTGTAGTGCATGCATATAACGATAAGTTTTTTTTTGAATTGACAAAAGCAAATTCAACGTCTTTCATATAATATTCTTCTTATCTATTCGTGATATTTTCTTTTGTTATGTAATAAGCTTAAATTTTATGTTTTTTTTAAAAAAAAATTCTATCCTGTATATGTGTGTATACATGTACGATAAGTAAACTATGTATTTAATCAATTAATTATTAAAAACAGAAAGTTTGAGCGAAGAAATATTTACTTTTTAATTAGATCCTCATCTCTGGCATTCCGCGCCAGCGAACCGACAACGGTGACCGTCTCCTACAGTTCTGTTCAGATAATCATTTGTTTCTTGTAAGCACTAACTTCAAACACAAGGAGAGACACTGTTTAACCTGGCGACCCCCATCATCAAACCAACGCTGGACACAAATAGACCACATAGCAATAAGCTATCGTTGGCGTGGGTCGGTAGGAGATTGTCGCTCCTTCTGGAACACGTGTGTAGATACCGATCACGCACTGGTCCGCGCTCGTGTGTGCTTACGACTGAACGGACGTAAGAAACAGCTAGCGGTAAACCCATCACGTCCCCAGTTCGATCAGGAAACTAAGTCCCTATTTGAGGAAGAACTAGCTAAACACATATCTGAGTTCGACAGCTGCGCTCACCCTGAAGAAGCCTGGAAGAATATTCAGTCAGCCATAGATACAGCTGTAAAAGCTGTGAATAAGGTAAATCCAAAGGTGAGTAAAAACCATTGGATTTCGACTGCCTCATCCGAACTGATAGATGCTAGAAGACTTATTCCGGCGAGCTCCGAATTCAATGAGGAGCGAAAGCTGCACAAAAGGAAACTTACGAAAAGTCTCCGCAAGGACCGTGAACAGTGGTGGTTGACAAAGGCGAAAGAGATGGAAAAAGCATCGTCGATAGGCAACACTAGGCAACTCTTTAGACTCATCAGGGAAACGGGTGGGAGAAGGCAAATCATAAGTGAGACTATTTCTGAGAAAAATGGCTCCTTAATTAGCTCTGGCATGAATTGGTAAAACATTAGCGTAAACGGTAGTTTTGAATTTGTTGGAAAATAAGAAATCTTAATGTGAGGGACAAGTTTATGTGATATCTTTTGATGTATCCTCCTTGTTCACCAATGTACCGTTTAATGGAGACAGTGGATTTTATATGTGAGGAGATTACTACACGAAACATAGACATCGGTATTTCTGTATCCACCTTGAAGGAACTTATTTTAAGATGTACAATGAATGTTCATTTCTTATTCAATAAGGAATATTACAGACAAATTGATGGTGTAGCTATGGGTTCCCCATTAGGTCCAATCCTAGCTGATTTTTTCCTCGCTAAGTTAGAGAATGGACCACTGAAAGGAGTAATTAATGACTTGGATTTCTACTGTCGATATATGGATGATACATTTGTGGTTATGAAAGACGAGAATGATGCAATGAACATCCTTGACAAGTTTAATGATGCACATTCAGCAATAAACTTTACCATAGAGAAAGAAAGTAATGACAGTATCTCATTCCTAGACGTCTTCATGGCAAGGAAAGAAGATGGCACACTAAGAAGGAGTGTGTATAGGAAACCTACAACAACAGGTCAGTACACTCATTTTTTGAGTTTTGTACCTTTGAAATATAAACGTAACCTGGTAAAGTGTCTGGTTCATAGAGCTAGGTTAATCTGTTCAGACGACTGCCTCAATGAGGAGCTTAAGATTATTAGAGAATTACTTAGAAAAAATGGTTATCCAGATAAATTCATTGAGAAAAATATGAATTCAGCACCTAGGAGAGTCAGTATGGCAACAGTTCCGAAAAAACCAATGTTCATAAAACTGCAGTTCCTCGGTGACAACATCAGCGAAATAATAACACAGCGCCTGAAGAATGCAGTTAAAAGAGCTTATTATGCAGCAGAGGTACGTTGTCTCTTCACAACCACCCCTATTCTACGTTCGAGAAATAAGGATAAACTACCTAAATTTGCCTCTTCTATGTGTATCTACCAGTTTGACTGCAGCTGCGGAGCCAGCTACATTGGGCGTACAATTAGGCAGGTTCATCATCGTATTTCCGAACATCATCCAACATGGTTAAGCAAGGGACAAACAAGATCTATTCGTAGCTCTATTTTAGCACACCTTGTAGATAGTGAGCATAAGGTTGATGTTAATACTGCATTTAAAATTATTTATCGCATTCCTACTAATCTTAATTTTGCTCTACGAGTTCGTCTTCTACATACAGCTGAAGCAATAGGAATCCACCTGAAGAAGCCAAACCTGTGTGTTCAGAAGAAATTTGTACAGCCACTTTCCTTACCTTGGCCATCGTTACATGAATGTATAAACCGGACTACTTCGCCCCCCTCCCCCTAAACCTTTAAAAATTATAATTGTCCAAATTATTTTATTTTTTCTGACCACTTCATCTTTAATTACGTGTTATCCTTGTAAAATTAATTTATTCTAACCATTTCTACCTTTTAAATGTGTATTGATTTTCTTCGTTAATTATCAACCCATTGACATTTTGACACTGACTAATTATTGTTAACAAACATATCAGTGCCACTTGATTGGTAAACTGTTGTGTACAATCTCAGCATACATTTTCTTGTGACTGTTGTCAATGTGTAGTTGTATTACTGTAGTGGAGCTGACCTAATCATTTGAACACTAAACCCCTAAACTGGACTGATACTTGCTGAGCTATTGATCAACATCAACGTCAATGGTTCAGCGGTAGTATACTCGTCAAGAACTACTAAGGTGGTCGGTGGTTCGATCCTCCAGCCGACACATACACACACACGCTCCTATACCTTTCTAAGCCAATAGTAGGCCCGGTAAAGAGGGGAGATTGGGTGTGAGGCTAGTGCAACCCCACTCCGGTAAAAATAAAATAACAGAGTCATGCCACCATTCTATCAATTCGTCAATCCAATTTTTAGAGAAAATCAAAAACATTCAAGTAGATGACAATGAAATAATGGGTCTTTGATGTCACAGCATTATATACTGCAATTAGTCGAAAACTAGCAACAGAAACTATGCAACAACTACACTATCATGATGAAAACATAAAAACGCAATGTCCAACTTGGATAGAACTCATAGAATTATACCTTGCAAACATACTTCTAATTCAATACTCAAATATACGAACAGATGGAAGCAAAACCAATGGGATCGCCCATATCAGGATTAATAGCTGAAGCCATCATGCAAAGATTACAATTAATAGCTCTACCTATAATTAAACCAAAAGTCTGGGTACGTTATATTGATGATACATTTGTAATAATTGAAAGGAATTATTTAGAATATACCCATAAATTAAGAGAAAACATATTTGAAGATATCAAATTCACAAGAGAAGGAGAACTAGACGACAACGAAATTCCATTCTTAGATGTCTTAATCGAGAGAACCAACTCTTTAAATTAAGTATAAAAAAATCAACACACAGATCAAATACTCAACTATACTAGTAATAACCCAGATACTCAGAAAATAAACTGTGTGCAGACATTGTTTAGAAGAGTTCAAATACCCTGTAGCACTCCGGTGTTGGAAGAAAGAATAGAGGAAAAATACCTACTAACCATCTTCAAAAAGAATGAATACCCTCACAATTTCGTCAAAAAGTGTTTAAACTCGAGTCACAACACCAACAAAAAACCGTCTTCAAAGACCAAAAGAAAATTCATTCTACCATACATAAAAATATCTCTGAAATAATATGTGGAATATTAAGACCGTCTGAAATAGATATAGGACACAAGTCATCAAATCACTTCATTCGATATTGTACAAACCAAAAGATCCATCAGAAAAAGAAGATAAAATTAATACCATTTACAAAATAAATTGTATGAACTGCAATAAACATTACATCGGTCAAAGTGGGCGTCCCCTTCGAATCAGAATCCAGGAACACAAATCAGCTGTGAAAAGACATGATATATACTCTTTCATATCAATGCATATAGATAATTATGGACATCACTTTGATTAGGATAATGTCGAGATTGTAGACAGGGGAAACACCAAGAGTGCCAGAGAACTCCTAGAAGCCTGGTACTCAAACGAATATATGCAATTAACAAACATGTTAATATAGACCAAATATACCAACTAATAAAAAGTAGATCATGTGACCAGAAAGTTTAAAATCCAAGTCAATAGAAAATGATCAATACATATGTAAAGATGGTTACCGGGAGACGCAATTCTATCACTCATGGAAAATTTAAATCAGTTCACTTTATGCTAAAAGTTGCGCTGAAGGGGGATGTTGTCCAGAAGGACGACGAAAGCTCAGCCGCAACTAAACCAACCAGCTCAGAGAACACTACTAATTGTAAAATAACTACTGCCGAGACTTCGAGTGTGAAGCTTGAAGTTCTGCATTCCACTTGAAACGCAAAGAAATAAAACACATAAATAAATATCGATCACAATGTTTGTTAGTGTGCCTGAGAGATGATCACTGCTCACCGATAAATTGTATTACTCCCACTGAGCTCGTGTCATACATAAGAAGGCGCATCTATTCATCGATATATTATGAATCCTTTTTCACGTGTAGTTAATAAATTGTCATTTATATATATAAAACTCTGAATTAAGTAATTTAAAATATAGAATATTTAACAGATAAAAAAATTATCAACAAAAGATAATTTGAAAGGTCATTTAAGTGGTAGGCAATAAGCATTTGTATTGTGGTTTTTATCGCTACTGACATAGATTTGTAAGTAGTATATTGTGTGCGATGTCTTGTGCAAGAATCTTGAATAGCAATGCGACAAAATAGGAAGCAAAGAAGAGAAATGAAAATTATTGTGATACAATATAGAAAGCACGAAATAAGGGAAGCTTCTTGTGTTACGTTAGGGGCATATTAGCTGTTGTATGACTCGACTTGGTATTGCTATAGTGCCTCTATGAAGACACTAAGGTGCGAATTCCATCCTGAAGTACTATTTGGGTAATATGCTAGTAGCTTATTAGGATTACGGTTAGATTTGGGGTTGGGATTAGAGTTAGAGTGTTTTATTTCTATTAGCTACACTTTTCTAGTAAATAATTGTCTACTCCCTAACTAGAACCC